TGTGAATCATCCCCCACCGACTGCCAGTTGGTCTATAAAATATAGGTCTAGCCCTATATGCCCAATACGCCTGAAGGCGTGAAAATGATCCTTTTCTTAGTGCGACGTCTGTTGCTGCTTAGAGGTTATAGTCCACTCCAAAAGTCGCGCCCAACGTTTAAATCTTTAACTCAGTAACTGCTCGGAGCAGTCTGTTAATATCATATCTTTGTAGCACAATAATTATAATCTAAACAAACATCTGCTTTTATTTGAGGCGGAGTTTAAAAAAAAACATCAAACTGCACGCGTTTTCGAGATAGTCCGTGAGATAATAGTGAAGTGGATACGTCATGTATTGCCATATTGCTTGTTGATTGGCTCTTAAAAAGTGCACGCTTTTTGTCACTGGGTGACACCAATTATTAATCTGCCAAAGTTCAATATTATTTGCAGCAGTAAGAAACCCGCAGCACATGGGACAATTCAAAATTATGAAATTATATTAATATGGGAAATCTTAAACCACGTGCAAAGATTAATTAGAGGAAGATCGGGGTGGGGCGAGGAGGGAGGGGGTGGCGTCAGTTATGCTAAAAGAGAAGATGACTGTCCTGCAAAACGTTGAGTAGCCAGTGGGAAAAGTCCTGCGACTGGCACATATGTACGGTTCGCCTCCAGGTGAGAAATCCAGCAACGAAACAATCTGAATGCACTATTAACCTTGACAATTAATTTATTTACAATCGCTGTATAATAATACAAACATAATTAAGTGCTCGTTTTGGATTTGTCTGTTTCTTTTGTCCCCTGCAGCTTTTTAATATTCTGTCAACGAGTGAGCGGAAGTACAGACACGTGGCGACATTTGATTGGAGCGCCAACTGCAGACACGAGCCGTTGATATTAGCATATTCCCTACATCACTATTTATGAGTGTGAAATTAATTATTCATTCTTCGTTGTTTAATTTAATCCACGTATATGCTAGATTTGATTTCAGTTTTAACAAAATATATGAATCTTGTGTTGGAACAAGAATCACCAGCTGGATCAGTGGCTCCCAAGCCTTTTCAAATAATGATTCGCATTTATATTTGAAGGTCAGATGAACGACTTCATTGCACCGGGTTTTATCCTATATGTCTCAGTCTCTCTTCGTAGAACAATTAGCTGCCTGCCGAGACCGTCGCACAGAGCAGACCTCTGTAGCTCCGGTAACGATCCCTGGTGGATCTCCTTAAAACTTGATGTAAGACGGCTTGACCGGTTGAAGGCAGAGGAAACATGGAGAACAACTAAGGCAGTTACTAATAAACTACAGACATGTTTTAACTGGTCCCTGTGCAGAATAGAGAGAATTCAATGTTACGTAGCTTATAACTAAACGTAAAAAAATTAACTCTGATGTCAAATCACTACTGGTACATGAAACTAAAACAAGGAGAATAGCCAAAACAGTCAGTAATACACAACAAACATGCGCAGAATAAAGTAAATTAAATGATAAGATCATATACTATTGTGGAGCTTTGAAGATAGCTTAACAAACTCCAGCAAATCAAGGGGTAAAGAAAAGACACTGACTCGGGATAAGACCTGCTTAAAAACAACACAGCCCTCTGCCCACCACCAAGAATTATTTTTTAGGATAAAGGGGTGCAGGCCTTCTAGGGTGTCAAAAGCGATATAAGGTTCTGCTTCTCGTTTTTCTGGCTGCCTCGACACATCGTGCTGTTCACTGGTGTTATCTTTCCGTCGTGTTCTTAGTCTCTTTATATATATATATATATATATATATATATATATATATATATATATATATATATATATATATATATATATATATAAGTATCCAGAAATCATGAGTTGTAACCCCTTTGGCTCGGTACTATGGATATCGCAACCCTTCGGCCTTGATTCCATTATAGGTACTGTTAATCTGGGAGAAATGTGGCTTTTCTGCCTACCCCCGGGAGTGACCTTATACTCTACCTCCTACTTCTCTTTTGGTGAATTGCGCTACAAGACATTTTTACTGGGTGTGCAAAACGTTTAATTTGCTGCATTCGTATATAGTTGACTATTGGTTCTGTGCCGCCTGTTTCTCTTATGACCTCATTCTTGATTTTGTCTCTTCCGGATTTTCCTGCAGCCTTTCCCAGACATCTCCTTTCGCTGGTTACGTTTTCTTTTCTGGCTGTTTGTGAGTGATCATTTCTATCACTGGTAGCATACGTAAGCAAGGAACATACTTCGTTCCCTGTGTGGGTTCCGGGTCCCCATTGGGGGAAAAACAAAAATAGACGCACTGCGTTCCCAACAAGCATGTCGTAAGTGTCGATTAATTTGTGTTTCCTTCGAAGTCGGAGTGCATCTGCTAGAGAGGCAAGGAATCAACAGTCTGCACGAATATATTTCAGATCTGTAAAACGGATGTGCACTTAACACTCGGATTCTAGAACAAGTCTAAAGTCCACAAGTGGATGAACTACCACAACCTTCCGATGGAGTTTGCAGCCGGTAAACGCCAAGAATAAAAAGAAGAATATACTTCGTTTGAGCAATTTCTTTGTTATGAACGAATCAAACATGCGTGCAGGCCAGTGAGATGAACAACTTCCACGACAGTGGAGTCACTCCACATTATCTTTTCTTTTTTCTCTATTGTATAGTTTACTCGCGTACCTCTTCGGTGGCCAGAATACTTCTCTCCCACTGGTTGTCTATGTGTCGATAAAAGTGTGTCAATTAAAAGTACACGTGACAGAAGGTTGTTGATACATGTGACTACCAACGCCACGCGGCATGGACTTTAAGAAAAAGGATCAAATAAAAAGAGTAATGAAGATGTCTTGCAAGAAACTGACTCACAAAGAGACGGCTGTTCAAGTGCCTTTTGTGTGTGTGTGGGGGGGGGGGGGGGAGGGGGGTTCTTGCAGCTTTTGTTAAGCTCAAGTCGTTACAGTGAAGGAGATTAATTTCTACGAAATTAGTGTTTAGATACATTACAATATTACTGAATTACCTTAAGTTTAGTTTTGTCTTTTGTCACATACCTATGTTACAAAGACTGTATTTGAAGTAGACATGTTACACGCTGACATTGTGAATATCTGGCATTTTGCGTCAAATTGTCCCCATATTTGACTCCTTTTTACCATTTTTAGGGTATAAACAAGACTTTGAGTTTTAGGATTTAAGGCAGCATGACTAACGCTGTCGCTACGGACTTAGCAGATTAGATTTATGTTTCTGCCAGAAAAAAAATAATCTCCAACCTTATCTGAGGATTCGAACGGTAACAACAGTTACAACTAAAATTATCGCAAAGTTATACGGAAAACTGCAAACCCTTTCGGGGTTGCATTACAAAGTATGAGAAACGCTGCTCAAAAGAATATGAATAAAACCCTTGAAAACTGATACATCTTGTACAAGGCGGCGTGCATCCCCAGGACGAGCAGCCATTTTGTCGCAGATGTCACCTGTGGTTCGAGTTAAACATCACAGAAATTAATGACTTGGCTAATGTATGCTTACTGTCTGTGCACATTTTGATACTCACGTGTCTGAATCGCTAATTCCTTTCAATTGTCGGTTTAACAGTTCTTAAATTAATGTAAACTAAGGGACCTATTGTATTACTTTCCGGCAACTTTCGCATATGATGCTTCC